ATGGAGACGGTGGAGGAGAGGAGAGGGTATATCAAGTGACCGAAACAAAAATTTGAGAATAATTGAGTTACTAAATATGTATTTTACTCTTGCTTTTTTAATGGAGTTAACTATTTTGAGAAATTGAGGTAATGGTTTAAACTTTAGGGTTTCCTAAAAATAATTATAATATCCTTATATTTTTAGTATAATATTCTTTTTTCCCCTAAAACTAAAAAATAAAAATAAGTTCCTTTAAATTTTGTATGAAGAGAGATTTTAAGCATAAATGGAAGAAAATTAGAAAACATAAGAGAAATTTTTGATATGTTCCTTTTTTGTTTTCTCCTTTCAAAATTTTAAATAGATTTGTTAGTTTGGAGGGGGGGGGAATAGACGTGTTTTGTTATTTCTGCATATACATTTAAGGGTATTTAGAATTATATTTATAGATTTCAAGAGGGTTGTGTTATATTAATGTTGTTTTTCATGTAATATAATATTTTACAAGTCAATTTAAATATTTGTGATTCATAACGCATCTTTGCATAATTTTTAATGATACTTTCGGTTTTTTTTTTTTTAAAGAAGTAGCATTCTTTTATTAAGGTGTACTTTAAAGAGTGCGTTTTTATTAATGTGTCATTATTTTCAACTATCATTTCCGATATTGATAATGTTTAAGATCAAAATGAAATAATACTTGTATCTAAAATTAAAAAATAAAATATTTTTATACAAGTAAGAACAAAAATTGATCAAATATTTGTATAAACAATGGGCACATCCATTTTCATCCAAATCAATGCCAGAAAAAGCTTACCCGAACATGGTGGGTGATCAGGAAGATGTGGAACTGCAGTAACCTGAATGTTTTCTGGAAGTAGACAGCTACAAAACTTGAAAATATTTTGGTTATCAGATAAAATAGTTTATACACATTCAAATATGATTGGAACATCCATGCCAGGCAATCTGAACCATGGCATAGGAGTATGCAATCAATCAAGAGCGATTAGAATCCATCTTGTTAGGTAATTAAGGCTTGATGGATAATACTAAAATGAAAGCAGACAGATTCGTCACCTAATTAAGATTAATTACTGCCATAAAGAAACAAGATTGAAGTTACTTATCAAATAACTAAACTTAGTGTCAGAAACTAACAATGTCACTCCACTTAATACTACCCATATATATATATATATTCCGAGTCAATCCCCATCCCAAACCAGTAAAGGTAGTTCTTGACATCATATACATTGGGATACAACAAAGTAGGGGTCGAACTCGAATTTGAAGGAAACAACCGCATTGTTCCCTTAAATCCAACCTCCTCGTCCCCAATAACAACAAATATATGGCTTGTATCAACAAAATTAAGTCATTAATTCTGCATATATATGAACCTTAGAAATCCCCAAGAATTAATTACAGTCACAGAGCAAAACCAGTGAAAAGTAATAGCTTTTCAGTGTTTAATTTTGGTAAACTCAAGAGGCAAGGCAAGAAACTTTCCCCCCAAAACAAGATAAATATTTTCATACAAACACAGTGCATGAAAATGATAAAAACGAAGAAAGACTTCAAAATACCTTTAGATTTTTTTTCTCTGAATCAATTTTTGAATCTGCTTTTGCTTTTTTTTTTTACACTTTGCTTCCTTTTATTCATTATAATGTTGGATGATAATAAAGCCTAAAAAATCTTATCTTTGTCTTAACATCATTTTGCTTTCCTTTTTGCATGGTTGTCAATTTGGTGTTGCCTTGGTGCAGGAACAATAGATGACAGAGGCAACAGCTGATATGAAGGGATTATGTTCCTTTTGTTTTTTGTTTTTTTTTACTTTTTGTATTTTTTATAAAAATAATATATATAAATATGAGTGGAAAAATTGGTGATTACAATATTATTTAGAGTTGCATATACATACTTCATGAAGAGTTGAGAAATTCGATTCGAACGTGAAAATCAATCTACTAATTACTAGAAATTTCAAGTTATATGAATCTTATTAACAATTCAAATTTTATTTGAATTTTTTCTAATCAAATTTTTTATTGACATCAAATCAAATTTAAAAAAAATTAATCTTGAGTAAAATTTTGCTTATCCCTGATTCTAATAATAAAGAAAAAACGTGTTATAGTACAAAGTTGATTTTTTTAACCCACATGTGTAATTGACCAATGACGTATTTGGGAATATAAAGTTGACAGGGTGAAATTGAAGACAAAGGAATCAATAATTTAGTTGAAAGTTGTAGTTGGGTCAACCAAAAGCAGGCCTGGTAGAGATCCGACGGTACCGGTAGCTCAGGATTCAAAATGTCCAAAATACAAGTCATCATCATCTCCTACAATATTATCAAACCATTTATTGTTCTTTGTTTCTTTTATTACAAAAAAGAAAAGAAAAAGAAGGTCAGATAAAGAATTAGTCGTTTGAAAAAAAATACCTTATTTATTTGATTTGTTCAAACTTAGAAACATTATGTTTATTGTTTGCCTTCCCCCCCCCCCCCAAAGACCACGTTCATATCTCTAGATCGTGTTAGTTTCTTTACCATTTGGGTATCGGCCATATCAACATTTCTTCTAAAACAAATTAGTAACTTGAAGGATGATACGTAGGTCAAGATTTATTTTTATAAAGTAAATTCAGATTTAATAAATTATTCTTTTGAATGATAGAGAGCAAAACGATGAAACTATTTTAGTTGAGCAGTGTCATGCAAGACAAAGGTGAAAGTCGTATCGGTGAGTAGTATGGATTATTGCACAACTCGTAGTGTTATTTAAAGACTTAGGAATAGGTTAAACCATTGTTCTAAGTTCTCTAGTAAATGGTTTCGTCCTTACCTTGATTTAATTTCTAGTGTACATGTTTAAGAAATGCATGAGTTTGAGAGAAATTTCCAGTATGATGAACATGGTTGGATCATTATTTTTAATGTATCTGACATGATTTATTAAATTATCTATGATGGAATATGTGGTTTTATAAGTATGAAGTGGAAAATGCATGAATTCAAATGAAATTACAACGGTGATTGTTGTATTTCAAAATAGTATATGCAGATAGATTTATTGGTTAATCAACTCCTTCGAGACCCTTAAATACAGTGGCATACCATAGGATTGAGCATACTCTACATGTTTATTTTGAAAAGAGAGCTGGAGACATAAAGCAAAATTGATATTGTATCAACATCGTCATATCAAACTCTTGGAGTCATATCATTGGCTATTATCGTTTACATGCGTTAGGGACTATCTGACTCTATGAGTCATATCAAGGTGTTATATGATATCTATTATTGATAATGTTATATGTGATTCAAGAGAGTAAAGTTGCAAAGTTACATGTTGTATAGAGAGCATGATTTACAAGTTGAGTTTTCTTTTTATATAAAATAAAATTCTTAAAAAAAAATACTTTTACTAAAGATGTAGTCGAATTTGACCGTGAAAGTAGAAAAGAAATACAGCCGTGTGTCAAAGCAGAACGGAGTTTTACCGCTTAAATCCTTACCTATGCAATGTTTTATATTTTCAAACTTGTGCTGAAAGTGAAAATTACTCCGCCTCTTCATGGTACACTCCACAAATCTGTACGTGATTTTCATTTATTATTTTTTAAAGGGGTAGTTTATGAAATTGTTTTTAGTTTAAATATTGGTTTGAAACGTAAAATTTCATTTTCAATTAAAAAATTATATTCTAAATGAGTTCATTGACTCCAACCACTTTTACATTAGCAAAGGTCGTTTGAAGACAAAACCTAATTAAGTTTAGACTGAATGATATTGCTTTCTCTTTAATAATATTTTAAACTAAACTAACCATATCTTCACTAGGGAATTAAGTAAATAAAATCCATAATTTCTTTTAATTATGATTCATTCCTGCCATAAATAAGGATCGTACAAATTAAACGAAAGAATTAAGTAAAAGCAAGATCAAAATATAAAACCTTGTAAATTTTATTAATTTAGTTTTTCATTTCGAACTTATTTGTTTAGTATATATACGTTATACAAGTTGTACTCTTAATAAAAGAAAAGAACACAACTTATTTTGTGCGATACCTAGATTTTTTATAACTAGGGTTGTAAATGAATAAAACATGTAAAGGATTATTCACAAAATATTTGTATATTGTTAGTTTGTTAAGTAAACGAATATGAACAAAAAAATATATATGTTCGTTTATTAAACAAACGAGTTTAAATGAAGATATGTTTGATTCATTTATATTTACGAATAAAAATCATTTTATTTGGAGTTTATATTTTTTATATAAATTAAATATACTTCAAATATTTATGTTTATTTTATTTTTTTATAATGAGATTATTAATATTTTATAGTTGATTATAAAAATAATAAATATTTGCATTTAAGGTTTGTTTGTTTACCATTCATTAATATAATTTAAATTGTTTGAAAACATGTTTAATTATATGTTCATAAACATGTTAGTTTAACATTCACGGATATATTTTTTTAGTAATTATAAACATATTTATATTATCGTCTTTATAAACACTAGATTAACATAGTCTGAGGTGATATTAAGATAGTATCCATATCTTTCTTAGTAATGAACAACATATTCTCTAAAGGCGCAACTACTCGAACTCATAATCTTTAAGGATAATAGTAACTTTTTGTCATTAAAGTGCTTCGAACACATAATTTAAACAACAAAACTGAACATTTATTTATCTATTTACAAGTATCAATAATCTTATCAAAATTTCTAATAAGAATCAATTAACATTAAAAAATTTAACCAAAAAAATTTAGTCAGACTTAATTTGTAACTAGTATATGTTTGTATCAAAATTTTAATATTCATATACAAACTGTAACAGCAAACGCATTCACATGCAAATATAGTTTTAATATTTTACTTAATTATTTTGGAATATTAGTTCATGTTTTGTTTAATGGAAGGGGATATACTTTATTTAAGTAATTGAAATTGAATCCAAGTATAAAATCAAAATAACAGAAAAACAATTAAACAATATACATCCCAAAAAATTCCACGTCACCCGCTGCCCTCCACTTCAGACATTAGCCTCGTCATCATATTGCCATAATGTGCGAAAACCCTAACGGCGAGAATAGCGGCACGTTAAAATCCCCCTCCATGTCATTCTCCAGATCCCAAAGCGCTGCCCAAGTTGACGGCGTCAAAGGCACATCACCGTTATCTCTCGCTTCTGTCACGTTTTCGTTTTCTCTCTTCACCACCTTTTCCCGTCTTTCTTCTCCTGCGCCGTCATCTCTGCTCCGTTTCCTGTTTCCGTAAATGGCGCATGAATCCAGCTTCCCGGCTTCAAGCGGGAAATTAAGGATCGCTTTAGAGCCGCGTAGCTTAAAAGCGGCTCGGTCGTAAGCCTTAGCGGCTTCGATCGCCGTGTCAAAGGTCCCTAACCATATCCGGCAACCTCTTCGGGTCGGATCTCGGATCTCCGCCGCGAACTTACCCCACGGCCTCTGTCGGACCCCCCTATAGTGCTTCTTGTCACCGGAATTTGATTCCTTCGGCTCTGGCCGAGTTAAATCCGGTTTATCGAACTGAATCCATTCCACCTTCTGTGGTAGAGAGATTTTTAGCGACGGCTTTCGAATCCTAGAGTCAGAACTCAAAGAAACTTGAGTGATTTGAGGTTTGGCTTCAAATTCTAAGGAAATTCCGTTGGATGAGAGGGGCGTAGGTGTTGTGAGATCTATAATATGAGGTTTCGACTCAAATTCGAAAACATTATTTCCGTTTGGCTGGAATCCGGAGAAATTGGGAGAGAATTTAAAGAAATCATCTTCTTCAAGGCAATTAAAACTAGCTTCTGTGAGAGAGGAACAACAACTCGAAGTTTGCGAGTAAAGAGATTCAGGTTTGGCGGTAGAAACTTGAGATATTGCCTCATTTATCCATTGGTTTTCACTGGAAAACTTGCCCAATCCCACAGGAGAAAGTTCATCAAGTAAGTAATGTTTGATATATTGAAGCGCGCTCGATACTTCACTGCTTGTTTCCATTAGCAATAAATAGAGAAAATTTCAGAGAAAGAAGCAAAGGGTTTGAATGGAAGAAGATATGATTTTCAGTTTTCCGGGCTGCGAGTAAAAGGGGAGAGTGGAAAGGTATTTATAGCGCATAACGAAGGAAGACTTGTCAAACATTTCAACGACGATGAAGAAGATTCAATGAACTTACAAATTTTGTTTTTTTCACCGTTGGTTCATAGAAAAGCAGGTCAAATGGAGGATCAGACGGAGGTAATCTTATCTGGTAAGTGCTTTATTCTTGTTTTTATCTCCATCGTTGCTTTCTTGTTGCTTGCATTTCTTGTCTGCTTCCCAAAAAGGTTCCCTGCTCTGCTCTGGATAAAATTATTTGATAAAATAATAATTATTTTAATGATTGCGTTAAAAGACAAATTTTATTGTCTGATGATTTGGTCAGCTGATGTAGCGGTAAACATGGATTAAGATGGAAGACACTAATATTTTACTCTTATAATATTTCTATTAACCTTACAAGCAAAGAACTAGGTCCTTGAAATGGTTAGCTTATGCAATCTAATTTCTTTTCTGCTATAATGAAAATATGATAATAAAATGTATACTAAGACTAAAAATTCTTTCGAAAAATATCACGAATACAGTAATGGATTTTTACTAATATGGAAAATAGAATAATATAAAAAGATTTGTAACTCTAATCCACAATATCATTTTATAGAGATAAATGCTCAACATGTTTAGTAAAAATATTCTCAAAGTAGGTTTTCACGTAAAAGAGTATAAGTTTTCTTCCAAATTTCCTCATTTATCTAATAATTAGTTTGTATTATATTGAATTCGAATCAAACTCTAATATTTTTGAATTTAGAAATTGAAGTGGTGAGTGTACTTATTCTCCTGTTAAATGCTGATATGTTCAAATTAAAACCCTAGTTTCTTGATCGTTTTCTCGTGGAACAGTGTAGAAGGATAAAATATGATGGCCGGACAAACCTAACATATTGGGACAATTATAAGAACTGATGGAATAATGGATTAATAATAGCAGGAAAGACAAATGGGTTTTGTAATTTGTTCTTTATTCTTCTGTCACTATTGCTAGGTCTGCAATGAAATAATTTTTCTTTTCCTTCTTTGGTGTCGTTTTGGCCAAGTCATATATATATCAATGCTAGTTTTGTGATATCTCATCCGAATATTGTTTTAATTAAAACTGCATGACCTATGTTTGCGTGAGAAGTAGTCAACTTCCAGTGTTGTATTATTGGTTCGACTTCCACGTCTCTCAATAGCGGATCCACATCTTTTCAAGTTATATGTGTTATTGATAGCGCTTATCTTAAAAATATTTCTAAATTTGTCGTTGATGATTTTAGTGTGATAGACATAGGTCGGGTTTTTGGTCCACCCGACCTGATTCGAGAACAAGGAATCTACCACCAGAGACTTGACCCGATTCGATCAAAACAAAATTTCATCTGACCCGATATACAACTTAAAAACCCGACACGACCCGACTCGAAATAATAAAAAATATTATTTTTATTCAATAAAAATTACGACTTAATTGAAAAAAATAATATACAAAGAGTATTATTGTAATTATAACTAAATAAAAGGTAAAATTATATATATTTTTAGGTCGGGTCGGATATTTTCACCCTAAACTAATCCCGACCCAACCCGAACATCACATTTAAAAAAACCGACCCGACCCCGATTTTTTTTAAAAAAAACCGACCCGATCGGATCGGGTTGGAACCCGTCGGATTTGGTCCCATGCCCATCCCTACTCTAGTATCCCTGATCCCGAACTCTCAACCACTCCCATCGTTTTTATATGATAATAGTTTTGGGAAATGTCAGTGAGCTCATTTTCAAACCTAACCAATGCAAGTGGATTCATGGAAGCTTAAACCAAATCTAAGAGTATTGTTTTACCAATTCTTAGCTGGAGTTGTAGGGAAAGCATTGAGTTGAAACGATCATGATGGTTAAAGTCATTGCTTAAAGACTCGGGAAATGATATTATAATAAAATGGTCCACAAAATCTAGAAGCATTTATTTGTCTAGTCTTTGTCTTAGATAAGTATGAAATATGCGTTTTTGCAAATCATTTTTTAGATGGTACTGTTTATCGTAATTTTTTTTATTATCACTCCTGATTTTGATGGATGAATATTCTAACATGAATTTTTATTTACGCAAGACATTGAATTCGATATCTATTTAAAGGATATTAAGCTACTTATCCTTTTTTATGCTAATTTTGCATGTAAACATGAGAATCTGGTAGGTTGAAGTTCCTTAAACCTTAAAAACACAACAATGGGAAAATTGTTAATGGGGAATTAGATTTAGCAATTGATCTAACGCTATCTTCTCTTCTTTTATTTGTTTAATTGGGATTTGCTCAAAGTTTTGACAAGATCTAAACTGATCAAATCTGTGCTTTGACTTAGTTTGGGGAAGTATATTTCACTACTATTTCCCTGTTAAGACCCATATATGCAGGCCATGGAATTAGGAGATGCAGTCCTTGATTTTAAATCATAATTTATACTAGGTCCTACACTGATTTAACATCTTAGATCTTAAATTAAATCTCTGTCACGGGTTGCTTCTGTAGGTAATATTGTTATCGTCGTTAATTATTTGGTTATTATTAAGAAATTAGTTTATTAATATTTTACTAGGAGAAAGACTTGAAGAGAAGCATATATATCATTACAATTCTTTCCTTAGTATGACAGTTGAATTTTAGTAGCATCGTTGTTATATAATTTATTGGTCAGTTAATCTAGATCAAATTTTATAAAGGTTTTTCAATTTGACATTTTACCTTCATAAAATTAAAATTTTAAATTTTACTTAAAGAATTTAATGCCTCATTATACTTGACTATGTTGGATGGCAAAACCCACATCAAACTATGTTGGATTCGACTTTCCATTCACTCTTAACCCAATTTATACGATGATCGGATGTGAGAAACGGCTGTTATTTTATTAGAAAACAAAAATTAGTTATTTTAGATTTTATGAAAAAGCATTCATCGTGACCTTAATAGTTAAAGGAATATTGTTAATTACACTTTGTCTCTTCATTTTTTACGGTGAATTATATTTTGCCCTCCATAAGCTGGTATCCTAGTTCCGCTCCTGACTGCGTCTTCAACATATTTGTACATAATCAATAATTAAGAAAAATTATGAATAAATATTACTCTATAGTGACTCTTCACTATTAAGAAAAAAGATTTCATGAAACATGCTTGCGGTGAGTGCAAATATTTCATGGTTTTTTTGGATAAATAAAATTTTATTACCCAAATAAGCAATGTCTGCTACAAAACAATTACCAATCACAAAGAAGAATTACAGATAATATACAAAAGAGCGATCATTTAATAAATACCCCAAGAAGTACAGAGGTTGGAGTTTACATAGTCAATTCTGTTAATGGTTTTTCCCCTAAGCTTGATTCCAACATAATCTTTGATGCTGTTGAGAAGATCATCGACAGTTTTGGAGCATCCTTTGAAGATTCTTCGATTGCGTTCCTCCCATAAAACATATATGTTAGCACACCAAGCAAGTTTAAGAATAGTAGAGATGAGAGATTTACCTTTCCATGAGTTACAAGCCCAATTTACCATGTCCTCCCAAGATATGTTCTTGTTTAGACCGATAAGAAGCATAATTTTTCCTCTCAAACAAGAAGCGATGGGGCAGTCAAAAAACAAGTGATTCCGATTTTCCAGCATTTCGTTACACAAAACACAAATCCCATTGGTGGTAATTCCCATACGAAGAAGACGGTCGCAAGTAGGAAGTCTGTCTAATAACGCCATCCAAGCTATCGGACTATGCTTAGGAATGTGTTGAGGGAACCAAATCAAGGTGTGCCAAAGAACTTTAGATTCCTTGCATCTAGTCTCGAGCCAAATTTCCCTAATGGTGGAAGCTCCATTTGAGAGGACAGGGTGTGCTACATTACGAAGTTTAAGAATTCTATTAAAGCTCCAACTTAGACTAGCACCTCCTTCCATGTTCCAGAAGTCCCTATCCTTGATGACATAGGCATGGATCCAAGCCAAATATTTCATGGTTACTTTGGTACAACAATAGCAAAACTAAACAATTAGCTTTTACCCTTTAAACTGGCTTTCCAACCAAACCAAGAAATTGGTTTTAAGTGCTTTAGAAGTTAATGTTGATGTGAAATTATAAAATTAGCCTCCTCAGTTGTAGTAGTTAATGTACAACTTTATTGATGTGCAAATTATATTGGTATATATATGTACGTTCTTTTGTAATCTTTATATGGGATGCATAATTTTTAAATTTTCAATTTTTAATAAAATATCTAGAATTATATATTTGGATTTGCAAGGGTTATGGTTATATGTGATTTTAATATTTGGAGTATATATTGAAACTCAATTTTATAATTAATTTATAATTAAAGTTTAAGAAGTATTTAAAAATTATATTTTAAGATTTGAATCATTATTAAATCATTATTTTTACTTTCCAACATCATAACTAAAATAAATGTTTTAATTTTGAGTTATTATTTGACACATGTCGCGCGTAAAAGATTTTTTGTATATAATATTCCTATTTTGACTCCTAAAATCTAAAATATTAAATCCTAGACTTTAACGTTTAAATTCTAAACTTAATAAAAGTATAACGTAAGTGACCACATATTATGTTTTCTAAAATTAGTGAAGAAAAGTGGACACATAAAAAAGTGATTAACCATGTAGTAAATCATTAAATTTTAATTATGTCATTTTGTCGATTGATGACGTGGTTGTCACATCAAAACAATATTATTTTGGTGTTATTGTTTTGACACCTCGAAAGACTCGAAATGATATTGTTTTATTAAAGAAAAATTGATAAAATCTTATGTTCGGGGAGATTTGAACTTTAAGCCTCTAGAATCAAAGGCCACAACATAACCACAAAATTAATTTAAATTATTAATATAATCTTACAAACATAATATAAAACTCTTTAGTTTTACATAGATTAAGGACTATTGGATGAGTGAAAATAGATAACTAAGATTGACTCCTTGTATTTTTCCAGTGAATATCTTCTCATTTTTTTATTGTTAATCTCAACCATCTATTTTCACTCATCCAAGGTCTTAAATCTATGTAAAACTAAAATTTAGGTATAATGATAACATTAATACTAAACATTTGACAAAATAGTTATTTTGACTCATATTCTATTTTTTGAAACATTTTGACCTTTATGTTTTATTTTTTATTGTCTCCTGATTGGATAAAAACCGTTAGTCGATTAACAATCAATATTTCATGTTAACTAGACAAATTCATGTGGACTAGAATGCTAATGCGACATATCCATGTGTAATGCTACCTCAATAAAAAATATTTTTTGAGTTTGTTATAAATAATCATTTTTATTAAATTAAGGGTAAATATATTAGATATCATCGAACTTTAGGTATTGTATTGTTTATACCATTGAACTTTCAATTTTGCCAATTATAACATTGAACTTTGATTTTCGTTTCAATTATATCATTGAGTTGTTAAACCGTTAACAGTCGAATCAAAACGATATCGTTTTTACGAGGTGTCTACGTCGACAGCCGCCAGCCACGTCATCATGTCTGTCGTAATAAATATAAGTTATCAAAAGCATGAGAGTCGCCACCAATCATTTTTAAGGTGAGATTGGAACACCTAAAATCAGATAATTTTAATAAAACAATTTATTTTACTAAAAATACCAAGTTTTGATTTGAGAAATCAGAAATTAGGTTCGGGAGTCAATTACACGTGGGGAAGGATTAGCAGCCCCACAGCGTCCAAAATTGGTACCTAGTCTATTACCCTATATCTCAAAATTAGAAATTTTAGGTTCAAAATTTTAATTTAAAATCCACTATGTATGCAAAATTTAAAAAAAGATGTCGATTTACCAAGATAAAAAACGACCAGTCCAAGCAAAAGCAGAAGCTTCGTTACTAATCCCAATAAATGGATATTACCTTATTAATTTATAAATCGTGCTTCGGGTTTTGAAAATGATGATTATTTACTTCGGAAATCAATAGCGGTCACCCCGGGTAAAAGCGGGAGATACACTACTAACTCCTAATAAATGAACATTGCCTTATTTTGAAAACAAAATGCAATCAAACGATCAATTATGTAACTTAATTATACTAAACGAATAAATTAAGGATTCCTTATAACTTGAAGTGTCAAATTATGAAATTTAAAGAACCTAAGGGATTAAATATAAAAAAAAATATAGGCTCTAATATTAATCCAATTATTTTTAATAAATAATTGAGTTGAACAGTCAAAATGGAACCTAAAGCATAAGCGATGACCAGATAAAAAATTCTCCTAAAATTAAAGGACTAGGTATGAAATTACACGTAAAATGGAGTCTCTAATTATTAACTTGGTCAATTTTAACCAATTATGTGATTCGAATGTTTCAAATGGAACCTCAAGCAAAAACGATGACCAAATTAAAAATTTTCCTAAATTTAATGACTAAGTTTGAAATTAAACTTAAAATAGAGGCTCTAATTATTAACCTGGTCAATTTTGACCAATTATTTGGTTTGAATAATTAAAATGGAACATCGAGCAAGAGCGATGACCAAATTAAAAATTCCTCTAAATTTAAGGACTAAATTTAAAGAATTCCATCTGAATCAAAGAAATTTATTCTAGGATTAAAATAAGAAAATAAGAACCAAAAAATTAAAGCAGATTAAACAATTATAAAGATTAACTAAAATAGTTATAGAATTATAAGCTTGAATTAATAAATATAAATACTAAAGCAAGGATTGCAATATAATGAATTCAAAATTAAGGACGATAACAGAAATGATAGAAACTTAAAGGAAAACACTGAGGAAATGAATATCACAAAATTTTAATGCTGAAATCTAAACAAAGCGATAAACAAATGATAGTAGAAATAATAGCTAAAATGTAAACTTAATTAATAAAACTAAAAATTAACAACAATAACAAACAAAATTCAAAGGCCCGAAAACAAATTAGGATAATGATTAAAGTTAAATATAATGAGAGATGCATTCCCCAAAGAAATGGGAACCAAGGCAACGTACGCATCCCAAAGAAGCAATCGCGTGTAATATGCAAAAACAGATGATTCCCCTTGAGTGGGAACAACAATTTATCGATGAAGCACATAAATTCATGAGCCATCAACCCTACCGAATTGCTCTTTTAAGTCATGCCAAACAATCGTCGCACTCAAAGCATACAGCAATCCAACAGAGAGATCAGGAGTTGTTGTGTTGGGAAGCCAAGATAAAACAATAGCGATACACCTATCCCATTGAAGACGATAAGATTCTGAAAATCCATCACGACAACAATCACCATCAATAAATTCTAGTTCATTTTTAGCCAATAATGCAATACTCATCGAACGACTCCAAAGGCTGTAGTTATCAACTCCGATGAGCTGATGAGAGACAAGGAGTCTCCTCAATGTGTCCGACGAATGCAAATAAAGAAGTTGACTGAAATCAATAAGAGAATCAATGGGAGAAACAGCGAAGAATCCGGGGGGGGGGGGGGAATCAACAAACTCTAATTTTACCAATTACCCCGAAACCATATTAAATCATCGAGTATTACCTCTTATACCATAGAAATTACTTTAAAGAATACATCTGAATATTTCATTTATTCACATATAACTTTATATAAGCTGTACATTTATACTACAACTAACCAAACTAACTTGTACATAATGAACTACATCAACTGTTCTTTCTGTATTTACAATTTGATTTCTATGGTGTTATCGTAAGTCTCATTGAAGCACACCTGTCAAAGGGAATACATTAGCTGTCGATCAAGTTTACCAGAAGATGTCAACAAAGGGCATACATATATGTGGGGGGCAACATTGTCGCCACTGTTTTACGTTTTTCGTCTGATTTCATTACTCAGCACGCGGTCGTGGCAAAATATAAATGAAACTCTTTTGGATTTACTTCCCTTAACTTGGAATATATACTCCATTGTGTTTCAGCAGTATCTGTAGTTCAAAGAAAAATGTGGTTTGAGTTAGAAGAGTATAAAAATCATGAGAATTCCAAATGTAATCTGTGGTGGACCAATGGTAGGTTCTGGGCTCGCCCGTGAGAGTCTTTTCAAGCTACAAAAATTCCATTGAGTACGTGTCAACAATCCACACTGTGTCTTATCTTCTGCCCTAGCCAATTCAAATCGCAAAAAGTAATTTCATGTATACTACAATTTGATTGATTTTCCCTCTATAAAACCCCCTCCTGTCACTCCAAATTCTCCATCCATAAAATTATACTTTAGGAGAGAGATGGCTTCCAAAACATCAGCATCGTTTGCCTTGTTTTTCGCACTCAACATTCTCTTCTTCTCTCTAGTCACTGCTAATTGTTCTTGCCCAGAACCAAAGCCCACTCCTTCCCCAACTCCGTCTGCACAAGGCAAATGCCCCATAAATACCCTTAAACTAGGTGTATGTGCTAACGTGCTTGGTTTGGTCAATGTGACCGTTGGTTCACCACCAGTGTAGCCATGCTGCGCCCTCATCAAAGACCTTGCTGACCTTGAAGCTGCCGCTTGCCTTTGCACCGCAATCAAAGGAAAAGTTTTGGGCATCAACCTTAATGTCCCCGTTACCCTCACCTTGCTCCTCAACGTCCGCTCAAAGAAGGTTCCATCTGGCTTCCAATGTCCCTAATCTTCATTCTCCTCTCCCTGTATTTCGTGCTTTCCAAGTTATATATTTCATTTCCAGTTCGCATTATTGTTCCCATTATTCTACTCTTCTGGTTCTGGATTCATATCGTATAACTTTGTACTACTTGTATTTGTTCCAGTGTTGCTTTATGATTCTTCCCAAGTTATAATTAATTTCCGGTTCGCATTCGTAACTTCTTGTTTCTTTTATTCTAGTTTCGGTTTCCTTATCTTTAATGGCAAAGACAGCCATCCATCATTGTTTATGTATTTAGTTGCTCTTAAATCTACCATCTTAACCAACCGGGTTAGTTCAACCGCTAATTAACTTA